CGGGTATCCATGGGTAACCGTCACGGGTATCCATGGGTAACCGTCACGGGTATCCATGGATAACCGTCAGGTATCCATGGGTAACCGTCACGTGAAAACTGGATAACAAAAAGGATAATAAAAGGACATCATCTGCGCGCATAGTCATTTTTTGTCTGCTATTCAAAGAGTAAACATGTATGCGTGTAACATCTGCTCCAAGGGTTTTGCATATAAAAGCGGGCTTAGTCGCCACTCTAACAAGCATAAATTGTCGCGGACCGAGATCGATCGCGTGTTATTGCAAATATAGGAAGGTAAATATAAAAAAAAAATCGAGAACGCGAGATCAACAGGAGATGACAGCATTGACAGGGGAGAGGATAGTTGTCGAATTTTGGTTGTCACACCGCATTTTTTTTTGCAATTAATTGGGAAGAAAGCGTAAAAGAAGAGCGGGAATTAGTTGGAAATCGTGAACTGCATCGTGTGGAAATCGAGACTAATGACCAAGAGACTCTATCGCGCGATACCGGGTGCAAAAACTTACCACGAGTCCTCTTGCAAACAAGTAGGTATTAAGACATTGTGTACTTACCTGTAATATACATCTTGTGGAGACTTGTGTCTTTTCCTGGGAGAAAGCTTGTCAATTCTGAACTTATACCATCATCAGTGGTTCCTAATAGTAGTGGGTTTTGTCAAAAAACTAATAGTACGATAGCAATAGTTAGTGAAGAAAGACTTTTGATAGAGCTAGAGATTTGTAAGCAGTGCATGAATAGAACTATAGACGAAATAAACAGTAAGTCGTAAAGCAATAATCTCGTTAGGTAAAAGTTATATACAGGGTGATACAGTTTACCCGAATTCTAAGACAATCTCAATTGTGCATTATATTATGACCTCAAGGGAATACGTAGGCGCTTGTGCGCCCCGCCCAGCGATGGATGTAGAGGAAGAGAGACTCCAGGAGTCTCTCACTTCTACAGAATCCCTTGAAGGCGTTTTCAGTCAGTCGGATGGACATCCTGGAAGCAATATTGACAGTTCTCGGCCAGATTTGACTAGAGAACGACTTCAACTGGAATTGAGATTTTCAACTGATGGAGACTTAGTAGTAAACCCGGTTAGTAGCGCCGGAGGGTCCCCCGGCGCCTCAGCGACGATCAGGCATGCACATGAAGTCGCGCAGGCGCGCGGGCGAGAACAAAATCTACCACTTTCCCCTGCGACACATGTAACTGTTTCAGTTTCTTTTTTTTTTTGTTTACAGAAATGCGGTGCAATAGAAGAGGCAGAATGCCTTGTTGCAACCATTACAAAACTTTAAGTACGTTGCTAATCACCCTGTACATTTCACCAGATTCAAAACTTACCTTGGCTAGACTTTATAACTAATTTAGAGCTGAGAACATCTTTTTCAGGTGGGGTAGGTCTGCATTTACGATAGGCAATATCCAGACAAAAAAATATTCTTATTAGGGTGGGCGCCACCTAGCTTCATTAATTAACTAGTAATTAAAAAAACTAGGAATTGTTTTTTATATTTGTTTAATCAACAAAACAAATCGAAAGATCGGTTACATATCAAAATATGGGTCGCCAATGAAAATATAGTCACAAAGATAAATATCACACAGTATATGTAAACCTATACCTAAAACATATATCCGAGCTCGGAGCACAGCTACTTACTTAACTANGTTGTCTTCAGACATTATCCTCGACGCGATAGCCTTATCGTTGCCTTCAGGCATCGAGTTTTTTACATCTACTGCAGCTCAGTGTAGATACTGAGAATTTTTTGCTGCGGATAGAGATAGACTCAAGAGAAGAATTGAAACGACTTCCAAAATTCTCAAGACATTATTAGATAAACTTGAAAAAATTCGCTAATTAAAATCAGAAATAACACACTACGATAACCAGTGTAAAATGGTTAAACAGTTTTAAAAGATGAACATTCAAGACAAGTGGAATGATGTATTTACGAATCCTCATCGATTTTCCGCAACGAAGGATGGACCTTCCTATCCTACCTATCAAAATACATTACAATATTACATTTATTATATTTTAATGTGCATAATATATGTTTACTTGTCCCTGTTTGTTTTATTTCCTCTCTCCCTCTACCTTTCATGTATAAGAAAAACCTTACAGACCAGTGCTCTACCACTGAGCTAAAGAGGCTCATGCTAGGTTTACTAGCAAGCCTGCATATTAGGTTAGAATTTTTGCTAACACTACAGTTATAAAGGAAATAAAATATCAGGTTACAGTTTATGCTAAAAAACANTAAACAGGTTTCTGTAACATTTGCCGTTTGGTCACTAGCGACCGAGGCGTTACTGGTGGCCCACCCTGTATAAACTAAATAAAATCAATTCTGCTGATTGGCAATATTAATAAGAAGAATAAAAGTGATATTACTATAATACCAATAGCATACATGAAGTAAAAAATTAATTTTATATTTTAATAAATATAAGCACAATCTGACAAATTTTCCTAAGTACAAGGACAACTGTTGATAAAAATTTATCATTCTGATAATATACAGGCTATCTCAAGAGTAAATGTACTATAAAATCAAAATAACTCATTTTATTACATATTGTATAAACAAATCTGATTTAAATCGAAAATTTCACCATGGTGCTGTCCATGGAACGATGGGTAGGTAAAGTGGCCGTAGTCACAGGGGCTAGTTCAGGTATTGGAGCTGCTATTGCAGAGGCTTTGGTCGAACGGGGTCTAAAAGTAAGTGAATTTTTCATAATTATGTAATTAAATAGATAAGCTAAAGACAAATGTAATTACACGAAAAATGACGCAATTGTTAACTTAATTTTCCTAAACAAAAGCAAAAGTTACCGTTTAAAATGCACATAAAATCATTGGAATTATTGTAAGCAAGTAAAATTAATTGATGTTTATGCGGAATCGGAATAATGTTATAAAAGTGCATATACCAATGGCGTTTGTGGCAAGGACAATACACGTACTTAACCTTCAAAGATCACACTTAGGGTGGGCCACTTTATAGGTCACCTAGTGCGAATTGGGATTTTTGCCAATTTGATCCTTTGTCTTCTTTATTTGTTAATGAAAACAGCGTAATTTGTATCACAACTGGGGTAAAATTTTCCCAGAAATCGAATGATGTAATTAGGTTTGAAGAATATGAATTTTTTAATAAAAAATGCAATTGAAAAAAACATTTTTTTAAAAATTACTCTTTTTTAAATTCGTATATTTTTTTATAAATAGTGTCTAGAGAAAAAGTAGAAAATGAATTTTGAAGTTCAGTCTATATTTTTAAGAAAAAAATTCTAATACTGATAAAATGATATTATCGATTTTTGCCTGTATCTCGAATATAAGCATTTTTTGGCTCCTTTTCTGTAAATTGAAATTTGATTGATATTTTGCACTTTTTTGTATAAAAAATATTAATTTAAACAGTATTATCCATAAATATTGTCAAATACATATTATAATTAAACTATTAATGAAAAAAAATGTTTGATTAACAGGAACTAAATAATGTTCTAGTTTATTAGACACGTAAAATGAAGTGAAAAAAATCGGAAATTGGCATTTCAATTCACTATATTATAGATATAAATTTAGTTATACTTTTGCTCACACTAAAGTCCCACTAGTGCGAATTTACACTAGTGTGATCTTTGTGTGATACTATTTAGCAATATTTTGTTTTAAAAAAGTTATAAGATTTGTGCATTGATACAAAATTGAAACATTCACTTGTTTTTTAGGCAAAGGCAAACCGCAAACCTAACCTAATAATCCTAACATAATACGAATTGGAAACGAGACACGAGAAATAAATAATAAATAAATTCGAGCTGCTACGCGCGGTCTGCGCAAGTCACGAATATACATTTTTTCTAGACTTGTGTTATAAATATGTTACCACAATTTTTTTTCTGTTTATGTCTGTTTGTATAACAAAGGCAAATGAACTAACCCTTGCTATAATGATGGGGCTTGAGAGCAAAATTTAAGTAATGCCGAATGGAAGTTCCATAAGATAAACAAAAACAAAGGGTTGTTCGTCTGATATGTTTCCGAGATCGAAAGGGAATGTTTCGAGTAATGTTTCAAACTGTCTTCAATTGGAACGTTTCGGTTATGTTTCACTATAGACCAGGCAAGTTAGACAATAAATCAGAAATTTGTTTCTGATGAACCGATCGAGTTGCGGTTTTCGGCATTGTCTTCGGAAAAATATCAGGAAAAATGTCTATCTATTACACTTTGGGGCTGGATCGAAACTGCATTGCGGGTGCATAAAATGCATGTTGGAGTGCATCAATTTTCTAAAAATTGTAAAAATTGACTTAAAAGTTGTAGAAATTTGTGTGCACGGGTTTTCGAGGTCGGAGATTCCGAATCTGACCCTGAAAAATATGCCCGACGGCCCTGGGGCCCCGCAAGGGGGGGCTTCTGTAAAACATCAAATAGCTGAGTAATTGCCTTCTAAATTTCCACTCGGGGGTTTTTGAGGTCGGGGATTCCGAGTCAGACACTGAAAAAAGTACGCCCAACGCCCCTGGGACCCTCCAGGGGGGCAAGAGGGAGCCTTCTGTAAAACATCGAATAGACTTTTCTCATTCGTTCTTGCGCCAAATTTTTTTTGGAGTGAAAAGTGTTTTTGAAGGAATTGTTTCGTGGACAATAGTGAGATGTTCTATCGAATTAAATATAATCTTGGGCTGGATTTCCAGTCGAATTTAATTATCGTGTTTTTAATTGCAGAACAGGTGTTGTTCTCGCGCCACATTTTTTTTGTACCGAAGTTCTGGAAAGTGTTGTCAGAGTTTCAAGGAATGCTCTTGTGAATGTTTGTAAGGTGTAGTAATAAACGAAATATAACATACGGATGGATTCCCATTCGAATTGAATTATCGTGTTTTTTAAAATTACAGAACAGGTACCACTTTATGCACCCGCAATGCAGTTTCGATCCAGCCCCTAAGTGTAATAGATAGACTTTTTTCCTGATATTTTTTCGAAGACAATGCCGAAAACCGCAACTCGATCGGTTCATCAGAAAAAAAATTCCGTATTCTGGGTGATTTTAGTCTAACTTGCCTGGACTACTAAGTAAGTTTTCAAGTGCTACATTTCTGTAATGAAACAGCAACGTTTCTAGTTATTGTGTCAAATGTTTAGCAAAACAGCTCATTTGCAACGTTTCATTTACGTTTCGTGTTTAGTGGGAACAGTTGTACAATTGTGTAAATGTATAATATTTTTCCTTGTAGTAGCTAAAACCCATCCTCATTAATACGAAAGTCCAGTTTTCCCAATCTTTCCTTTATTTTTTTCAAATTTTTCTGGGATAAAAATAGTTTTTTCAGCGCTCAATCCTCCTGGAAATGTTAGACGTCTGCTCCAGCACATTTATACCCTTATTTAGATCAGGGGTTTCTAATAAACCCAATTTAATTGTTTTTATCAAATCTTTTATCTTAAAATCCACCGTCAGAAGTGAATCTTAATTTGGAGTCATCACTAATAGAAGTCAAAGATAAAAAATTGTGCCACTTTTTTTTAATAAGGATAATAACTCAAAGCTTAATTAATGAAATGTTATACAATTTTTTTAATAATATTTTTCAGAATTATCTGACTAACCGAGGAACGATCGATTTTACTCGGATCTTAAGTATCTAATGACGCTGTTCCCTAAAATTTTCTAAAATATTCATCTCAATGACAGTTTCACCAATTTGCCCTTTTAGGTTGCTGGACTAGCTAGAAGAAAAGACCGTCTCGACGCCTTGGCTCAAAAGCTTTCTAACAAGAAAGGCAAGTTGTACCCAGTTCAAACAGACATTACCAAAGAAGAGGACATAATAAATGCCTTCAAATGGATCAAAGAAAACCTAGGTCCCATTCACATTCTCGTAAACAATGCTGGAGTTCTTGGACAGACAAGTCTCGTGGATGGGAATATTGAAATTTGGGAAAACATCCTTGACGTCAACGTCCTCGGTCTATCCATAGCTACTAGAGAAGCTATAAGGGATATGAGAGCAAACAACGTAGACGGTCATATAATTCACATCAACAGCGTGGCGGGACACCAAGTGTCGCAGATTCCGAATATGAATTTTTATCCTGCCAGCAAATTTGCGGTTACGGCCTTGGCGGAAACGTTGAGACTGGAAATGCTCAATTTGAAGTTAAAAATAAAAATTACGGTACTGTTAAATTCGTTTTCTAAATCATTAACCATAATTGAAAAGTTACAAAAGCTCACTCATTGCAAAAAGAAATTATCATATTTTGTAAATACGTATTTAATGTTTCTATCTAGATGAGAATTTAGAAAATTTAAAAACTTAGTAACGTAGTATTGACACGTTTTACATTTGATCAATTTTGTTTTCAAAATCTAAAAATGGTATAAATATATCGTTTAAGAAATGGAATTATCTTGTGAAGAAGTTATTAGTTCATTATGGGAATTATCCACCTCAGTTTAAATCTTTGTAAAGGCTGTTATTAACAGCAGAACGTTGTTAAAAATGTGTAAATATTGTAACAGCAACTGGATCAAGTATAACCTATTATAGAGGATATTCAAATTTGAGTTCACTTTTCAATTCTTGAATAAAAACATAATTCATTCGAACCAACTAGGTACATACCTTTATTGAATATTAAAGTAGACATTTTGCGGTTTATAATGGAAAGGAATGGCAGATAATTGACTACCTCTTGCAGTTCTACAAGCTTCAGTCTTTTAGTAATATTTTCCACCACGTGTTCACATATTAGTGGTTCAATTTGAGTGATTTGCTCAATTATGTTTTCATTCAAATGTTTAATAGTTTGAGGATTGTCAGCATAAATTTTACTCTTCCAAAAAACCCATAAAAAGAAGTCGCTTGATAGATCGCATGATCTTATGGTCTCTTCGAGAAATTATTCTATTACCAAATTTCAGTTTCAAAAGATCGACTATTTCCGTTTCTGCATGATATGCTGCACCGTCCTGTTGAAACCACATATTCTGTACATTAATACTCATAAAAAGTTATTAATCATCGTTCGATATCTAGCACCATTCACAGTAACAACGTTTCCAGCTTTAGGTTCTCGTAGGTTTTTTCACCCTACGACAATTTTATTTGTTTACGTATCCATCAATTTCAAAATGAGCTTCATCACTAAAGATGGCTTTGTTAAAAAATCATCATTTCCTTCTTTGACTGCAAGAGCCCAATTAACAAATGTAGACGTAATCCATGTTCAGTTGGCAATAATTCTTGTGACAATTGTATTTTGTAAGCCTTTAAGTGAAGATCCTTCTGCAAAATATTGAATCAAGTGGTGTGTTCAATGGCTAATTGCTGTGAACGATGACGAATTGATGTCTTTAGGTTCTGCAATAGCACTGTAATTGACAGCTGCAATACTTTCTTGTGAACGACCACTTCGACTGTAAATTTTACTTCTTTGATCTTGAATTGAACCAGTCCCTTCAAATTTATTCACAATATTTCGAATGGTGCTGTTTGCTGGACAAGTTGTTTTTCCATATTTTGTAGGACATTTTCTTCCAACTTCTGCATAATTTTCACCAAATTTAAAAAAATCTTTTACAATAAAGACGCGTTTTTCAATCGTTTACTTCATCATATTTATTAACCGCCATGTCTCTACTCTTTAAAATTAAATTTAAAAAGTTAACTCAAATTTATTTCAATTACAAAATGTGTTGTCTAAATAAGAGCAAAACAAAAACACAACAAACAAAAAGTTTTAAAGTTTTTTTTTATCAAAATTTAAATAAACAATTAACATCACTTTGCTCTATGAACATAGGCGCAGAAAGCCACCGTTTATGAGATACAGGGCGTTGAAATTATCAAAAATAAAACAATTTTTTAAATATCTGGAATTGGTACACATTTTACATTATCATAACAAATATGTCGAGCTCAACTTTCAAGTAACACGAACAAGTAAAGTTATAAGAAAAACAAATAAATTAAATCAATTGCTCGAAGTGTCCATCTCTAAACTAAATGCACATTTGGAATCTTTTGGTTATAGAATTCACAGCAGCTCTGATTAAAACTGGATTTTGCTTCAAATTAGCGCAGGCCTCATTTAGCCTTTGCACTAGCTGGTCTCTATTTGCTATAGGAACGGCATAAACGTCATTTCTCTAGGTTACCCCCCAAATAAAATAATCTAAAATATTTAGATCCGGTGATCTAGGCAGCCAAAGTATGGGGCTATTCCGACCAATCCATCTGTTTTGGTAGTTGTTTGTCCAGCCATTCACGAACTACCTGGCCAGAATGTGCTGACGCCCCGTTTATTTGGAACCAGATTCCGATTCGTTGGTCCGAAGGTATGTCCTCCATTAACTGTAAGAAGCTATTGTCCAAAAAATTTAAAATCAGATTGGAATTTAGTCTAGGTGGCAAGATGTTTACTTGGATAATATGTCTCATAACTCGTAAACCATTAACTTTTCGACAAACTTAAAAATGTTTTTCCATCCGGAATGTTTCAGATCGTTATAAAATGTATTCATATTACCAATTAATTCAGTGGCGTAGAAGTTTTACTTTAAATAGGGAAACAATATCCTCGTTTCTCCGCCACTGGTTTTTGAATTTTGACTGTATGCATACAGAACTAGAAGAATTATTAAAAAGAAAATGTGTATCAAATTTGGATAAATTTGATGAAGTGATTTTCCAGATATTTAAAAAAATTGTTTTATTTTCGTTAATTTCAACGCCCTGTATCTCATAAACGGTGGCGTTTTGCGCCTATGTTCATAGAGCATATTGATGATAATTTTTGCTGTTTAGTACTTTCCCGAAGTTTGTCTATTAAAATCTGGACCATCCTGTATATGAATGATGCTAACGTTATCATTGGACATTTACCTTTTGAAAAAGTTGCTTTTTGTAATTTCCTCCTATAAGGAAACCCTCCGCAGTCAAAATCAACACATTAAAATGAGTCCACACTAAAATCAATTCTTGATTACAACTAAGTATAAATGTATTTGTTGTCTGACAGCAGAAGTCCCCTTATTCACAAATGAGTAATTTTAAAAAATAAATGGAGTGATTTTTATACAGCATGTTCTCATTTTCACATATTTTGGTCTCTCTAGCAAAAAATTATTAAAATTTTTATTTCAATCCCACAATTTTCGTCTTCTGAACTTTTTTGACGTTTCGTTGTAATATAAAACGAAAAATTTTTTGGTTAGGCAAAACTATTTAAAAATATTATTAATATATCTATTTTAAACCATCTTCCGTTACAGTTAAAAAATAATATAAAATTGGGATTACTAAAACAATAATTTCGTACTTAAATAACGTAACATTTAATACCTTTGCATGAGAAATCATATTTTTTAGAGTGTAAGCCCTGGGCCTGTGGATACGGAAATCTTACCAGCTTCTATGAAGAGCAAGTATGATAGACTTATCGCAGAAAAACAAATAATTGAACCTGAAAATATTGCTGACGCAGTTGTGTACGCTTTATCAACCCCTCCCCACGTACAGGTAGCATTTGTTTTCTTATTTTTTATCACTTTAAGCAATAAACTACCATATTTCTTCTTTTAAAACCCGCAATGTATGTACAGGGTGTAGCATTTGTTGTTAGCAGACACCACTGATTGACAATTCATAAATTTTTTTTTTTCAGATTCAAGAACTCACTGTAAGATCAGTTGACGAATCTTTTAGGAATGAAAAATAAATATAAACAAGTCGCAAATGTTACATTGAAAGTAATAAAAGTATGTTGTAATATATTGTCACTTATTTTTTTAAAGTCTAAGAGGTCCTAAAGCATGAAACAGCAGTCAACTTATAACTACACCTTCTCCAGATGTAGATGCATTTCAGAAAACTTTACTTTCGCCATTTTAAATTTGCTGGGGCCTAAATACAAGGTGGTCTAGTTTCCGATGCGGAAACTTCAGGGGCCGATAGAGATTCAAAAAATAATATGAGTTTGATGAGTAAATTATATTCGAAAAATGCTTCATTTTGTAGACGTTAACTACCATCTATTATTTTATGTAAAAGCAGTGGCGTACCAATTTATTCTTTAGAAATATCTAGTAACGTGCTAGTACGGACGCCACTGGCAAAATAAAATAATATTTTTAATTACAAAACGTGCTCCCTCGATGGTAGTTAACATCTACAAAAACAAATTCATTGAAATATCTTTAGCCGTTTGACAACAATTAATAAATTTGATTTTTTTAAGCCAGTCTTGAATATTTTGTATTTCCTTAACGAAATTGGACCACCCTGTATACAGAATTAAAATTTCGCTTTTCTCAAAAATATGTTTGTCCATCATCCTCGCTATAACTTGTTGAACCCGAAAAACCAATGCTACACCTGCACAATCTGCGGGATGGGAAAAGCAATAAAACATAAAACATAAAACACACCACAGAAATGAGACAACCCCCAAATCCAAAAGCCAAAGGCTTGTGCGGAAGGGGGCTACACTTGAAAAAACGCGGACAAACACCCATTATCCATCGACATTGCCAGTGCCGACACCGGGGATCGAACCCGGACCAGAGTAGGAAGCCTAGCCGAGAAATGCTTGCCACCGCACTCTCGACCGACTGCGCTACCGTGGCGATTCTTTAACAAATTAATTCCGCCATTTTTATGTCATCACATCCCAAATTTAGATTGTACCGACTCTTCAAATATGTATTTTAAGAACGTTTACAGAAATACAGAAATAAAACAGAATAGCAACATGATGCCAGGCGTAGGCTAATAGTACAGTCAAGATATTCAAGGTCAAAGGTCACAAAACTAATTTTTTTGTAAATATCTTGTTTCCTTTGCTCTAAATGACATTTGGGAAATACCAACATACATTTGTTGTTAATGTTTGGGCTGGTATTGTAGGAAATTATTCCATTGGACCTTACATATTGTCTCAATTTTTGCAAAATAATCTTTTTGAATACCCCAACTGACACAGTAAATGTGGTATATGCACGACGGAGCTCCTGCTCATTTTACCTTGACTGACCTTCAGTGGTTTAACGTACATTTCCCGGATGGTTGGATAGGGAAAGCGCATGATGCACCCATACATTGGTCACCGAGATCTCCCGATTTAAATCCACTTGACTTTTATTTATGGGGTCGCATGAATTTTTTAGTAATTGTTATACTAATTACATATGTGTAATGGGCAAGGAGAAATAATTTATATTTTTGCTCGAAAACTGTTAAGTTTACGAAAAAATGAGAAGGGTGAAAAAGTTTCTAAATGAAATGTAATATTGAAAGTTATTTTTCTTGTTGGAATCAGCGAATATAGAAAAAAGTTCTGAGGGAAATAAAACCAAGGGGTGCTAATTTCTTTCATTCAAAGACATAAACCAGAAAAAAAGACTACCAAAAAATATCATTCAACTAGTTGTTAACGTGTACGAAAATTCAAAGTTCTAAGTTTAACCGTTTTAGCGAAAAAAATAAAAGCTAATTTTTTCGGTCATTTTGTGATTCGAATATTTTCTCAGTGGGACTCAAATCGAAAAAATGTATAGGAAGTACCCCCCTTAAAATTAATTTCTAAACACGTTTTTAAAATATTTGCACCCCATCATGAAACACCCTGCATAAGGTGTCCACTATTAGTCATTGACATTTTGGGAAACAATTCTAGTTCTTTAAAAAATAACTCTAAATGTAGATTTAGAATGTAGAAAATTAAGTAAGCCTTAACAGAAACATTCTGTGTAGGTAAGTTGCGTTTTTCGTGTAATATAAAAAAATATTTCGTTAAGAAAGTACTTGCATTATTTTTCAAGTTCGCGATATAATATAGGCAAAGTTACAATACAGGTAATTATGCAATTATATCTATTTTTAAATTCAGAATACTCAAAATATATGAAGAAGAGCGACGACATAAGTTTAAGTATTTGAAATATATACTGCAAGTCACTGATGCGGTGCCTTTGAAAGACTACTGAGGTTAATCAGATCGTTTGTGTATTTTTTAGATAAAATCAGTTACTCGAATATACGATTAAAGTAGCGATAAAATAGTGTAATGAAAAAATGCAAAATATGGCTATGGCCAAAAACCACCTCTATTTTTCGTTTCGGGCGTCAACGATGAACTCTATATTCCTCACCCTCTCCCCCGTTTTTGAGGGTTTTGATCACGAACCCTCCCAACCCCCTAGAGCGGACCAAAACTACTTCCAATCTGATTTTATGGAAAATTGTTTATACCTATTATTCCCTTTAGCAGTTACAGGATTTTTCAAAGGTTGTATGATATTGTCACCCCTATATTCGTGATCAGCACCCTCGAAGATAGAAAGTTACCTTGCTGGATTCTATTAAATCAGATTGGGGATAGTTCGAGGGAGTTATGAGGAACTTTCGACATTATTTCACTACACTGTATATCATTGCGAATTGTAGAATTTTATGTACGAATTGTTGGAAATATAACATTTGAGGACAACGATGTTTTAAATAGTTAAGATGATGTGGACCATTTTATGGTTACAATTTTTATTTCACTATAATTATAAAATATAAAAATACAAAAGTTAATAACATAAAAGTGTAATTGTTAGTTATTACTGACATTAGACCTAAAAATTAATCACGAGTTGAAAAAAAATCCACTTCAGGTATGTATACACTACATTTTAACGCTTCGTATATGTCAGACCTTAATAATTATACCCACCTTGACAGTGGAGTATAAAATTGCTGCATCGTCATTATTACACAATATTTCACGAGTTTATAGATGTGTATCAAAGATATTTGTGGAATGGCGAAACGGGCGGTGACTATGTCTTACTTTATCGCTCTCACGTAACGGCAGATGGACCATCGGTACTTTCCGAACCTGTAGGTATTGAATTTTCGAAAGCGAGAGAATTGGCTTAATAAATTTGGAGGCAGGGCATTGCTAATACAATGCGAAACATCGCCTTAATGTTAGAAATGTTGTCATCACCGTTCTTGGTGGTGAAAATTCCAAATATTTGGAATTATTTAATTTTCGAGGCTTAAAACATACATAGGTATTGAATTTTCGAAACCGAGAGAGTTGGCTAACTGAATTTGGAGACAGGGCATTGCTAATACAATGTATTCACCACCACATTTGGAATTATTTAATGTTCTTGTTAGAGTTTAAAATATTACTAAGAATGTATGCGTTGTTTATGAGACATCCATCAATAAGCTTTGACATTCGCTTACTTTGAGAAAAGTCACTTATTTTATACACCGTAATATTATTTTTAGAAAATAAAATTGTACATTAGATATTGAAGCCCGAATGGTAAAAATCCTAACCTTAAAAAAATTTGAACTTAAATGTAATAGGAATGTAGCATAACTAGCGCCCTCTATGAAATATCCAAAAAATAATTAGACCAGCGTATTTGTCATCCTTAAAATCCCTTGAATACCAAATTTCATAAAAATATTTCGCACCGTTTGGAAATTTTCGTAAAAATTCTATTTTAAAAATTTATTTTGTCGCTCTGTATCTCGAAAACAAGAGGAGATAGACATATAGTTCGTAAAACAAAAAAATTTTTGTTTTTTGTCTTACTATCACCCCCTGTATTTACAAGAGGTCTTTCTGAAACAGCCTGTATACAGGAATATAATTTTTTATGTTGACGTAGTGACTTCGCTGATGCTAATATTTCTTCCTTTAAACTATTTTAAACTTGATTCCTGTTATGAGTACTAAAAATAAAAATTAGACTGTTATGGACTTTTTTCGATTTATAAATGTTATAAGCATGTCTAGGTAAAAAATTAAATACAAATAGTTAATGAATGAAATAAAGTATTATTTACATTGTTTCCTCAATTGATTTTCCAATCTAAAATAAACCACTCATTTCCATCAATTTTGCTTAGAGTTTAATGTTTGGCCAAACATTTTATTACACCCTGTATAATAATCACTGCACTCCGTACTATGGTATTCTAAACAAACAAAAACTTACTGCATGTGAATAACGCAAATTGTGTATATAAATAAAAAGTCACCACATACAGAAAAAAATGCAACGAAGTGGGGTATCTCTCGCATAGAAAGCTTAAAATGCGAGCAACTGAGGAGCTCGATTAGTTTTCTTGTTAGTTCCGGTGAGTCTCCCAGAAGTGCAAAAACTAAACTAAGGTACTCCCACATTTTTTTAATTATTAGTTTGGTTACTTTAAGTTTGCTTTAAAATATTAATAAACGAATTCAAACCAAATCTAAAATCGTTAACAAAAATTCTCATAAGATAAAGTCATATATGGTACCAATATATGGGTATACCAATATATGGGTAATAATTGTTAAAATATTTTTTTTTTTTCAAATAATTATTGATCACTAGTTTGTCTATGACTTTATCTATTTATCTCTGATGATAAACTTGAGGAAATTTTTAAACTTGATTTGAAATATCTATAGAAATTTTCTTTTGACCAGTCGAAACACGTGAGGATTTTTAGAATTGCATTACCAATAAATGTAATATTCATTTTACGATTATTTAAAATACATTAAAAAAACATACATTTCATGAATAGCTCTTGCAACTTTGTAGATAGGTAAGTTTGGTTAAATTACATACAATAAACTGGTTGTTGTACGGAACACCCTGTACATTTTTTATAATTAAAAAAATTCGCAGGTTTAATTTTAATATTTGAGGCAGGTAGGCAGGAATATAATTTTTTTATTAATTTGTTTCTGAACAAAAATTAGCAATGGTATTGTCCATGGATAGATGGGTTGGTAAAGTGGCCGTAGTCACCGGTGCCAGTTCCGGTATTGGGGCCGCTATTGCAGAGGCGCTGGTTGAGCAAGGGCTTAAGGTAAGTAGATATTGTCAATGTTGCCAACAGAAAAGATTTTTTACGAATGCATAGCAACGTAATTATTAATATGGTAGTAATATACGGAATAAACTATTTGCGATATAAAAATTAATTCAATCAAGGAAAATTTCTTGAGTTGATACTATTCACTGTATCCAAAGTTAAGTATGTATATTGCAATTATCTAATTGATGTTGATCGATTTTCATTATTAACAAATTTTATTTTAGATTTTAGCTTATTATAGATAATATGAATTTAATATAATAAAAATCGTTTTTATTCGTACTCATGTACCTATTTTCAAAGTATTTCAATTTATCTCTAATATTATTAAAACATAGCTCATTTTGTTCAAGTGCATGCAAGGACGTCGTCAAGGGAGGCGACCAAAAAATTTTTGGACACTTGAAATGAATAAAATCGTTATTACTCGTTTTACCATGAAAGTACAACTCTTAAGAAAAAAAATGAGCACTGATTTGTTTGTCTACGACTATTCGTCGGACAAGAAGAGCCGATTTTCGAGATGACCTTTTTTTTTCGAAAAATCGATATAACTCGAAAAATGTTTAATATTTTTTTAATTTTAAAAAGGGCACTTTTTTGCTTGCCGAGGGCTATATTTACAGCAAGTAACAAGTTTCAAAACTTTAATTTGCAAGAGATACAGCAAAAAAAGTCGATTTTTGACGATTTTTTTTAATAGCTACAACTTTCTTATTTAACTTTTATCGATTGGAGTTCAAGTTTTTTTAATTAGCGAAAAATCGTTTTTTTACTTTTATGATTTTTTTAGGTTAACTAAGCCGTTTATGCGCCACAGGAAAAAATATTAACTTTCTTAGAATTCTTTTTTTCCTATATCACCATATTTTTTGTTTCCAGGTGGTATTTTTTGTAAACTCTTCTACCTATTATTAGACTATAAAGTTATATATGTATGTAACGTACCAATTTATATATATTTTATAATTTCCGTTGAAATTCTTAATTATTTTAGATATTTATATTTTATCTTACGTTTTTCTTGTATTAAAAAGGTTTTATTAAAAATATTTCTTAAAAAAATTAATTCGCTGTACCTATTTCTACCTATAATTTATATTTCTCCCATCCTCTCTCTCATCTTGCACCCCCCTAGCCCATTGGCTGGCGACGCCCTCGTGTGCACGTGGTTTTTGTCTAGATTTATTTTCCTGGGTATTAAATTTTGTAATTTTTGTTGACGTTTCTCGTTTTGTTAAATTTCTCTGGTCCTATATGCTCCAGTACAATATGAAATGTATATAACTTATATTGAAAACTTATCAACTTATTTTTAATTTGTAAAAATTTTTGTATTTTCGCAGAACACAAATATTTACATGGGACTTTAAATAAATTGCCTTAAATATTCAATTGTGCAATTTTCAACGCTTTTGGCGTAATTGAATATTATTTTCCAAATAATTCATATTTTCTTTTTAAAGTTTAGTTTAAATATTGTTGAAGAAAATTCTCCAGTTTCCACAAGAAAAATTGGCTTCTCAAAGCCGACAAGGTAATGTGTCATAGTCTATAGCATTGCGAATGACAGGATATTACTTTGTGGGGTTTCACATTATGCCACGAAGATTATCTCAGTTCTTTTTTTAACAATTTAAACAACCTATTAATGAAGTTCCATTAGAAAAGGCAAAATATGTGGTTTATGTACGATTGTTCCCTAACACACTACTCTTTGATTGTACACCATCAAAATATTCCCAGAATCTGCACAGGTCGTGGCCAAAATTCACCAATTACTTGGCCACCACGCTCTCCTGATCTTAATCTTTGCGATATTTACCTTTAGAGTCACCTTAAAGGCCTAGTTTATTCTGCTCCAGCAAATAATTTGGAAAACCTCGAAATTTGGCTCAAACAATATACAGGGTGTCATAGAATAACGTGTACAACGGAAGACCACATATTCCTGAATTCAAAATAGGCAGGCAGATGGACACAAAGTTCGTGAAAATTTTTTGAATTTTGTAAATAACACTGAAATTACAGTCAACCTACAAAACCAGAGCCTACTAGTAGCACTTTGTTAAGTATTGTAATTGGGGTGGCAAGTTGTAGGTACACATTAAAAAAAATTTTTTTTGTATCCAAACGGCTCATTTAATCAAAATTCTACAAGCGACCCAAAAACTTCCAAATGGTATCACCATACATCAATTTTGTAGGAGTTGTAAGTTTTAAAAAATACTGTATAACACCAAAATATGTAGATTGAAAGCTAAAGTCCACACCCCAAAAATAATCAAAATAGAATAATATTTAATGGAGTTATTTACAAAATTTAAGAACTTTGAGGCCATCTAGCGGCATAGCGAAGCGTTTTGGGATACAGGTGAATCTAAATCTGCCTATTTTGAGTCCACGAATCTGTGGTCTTCCATTGTACACGTTATTCTGGGACACCCTGTATTTTGACCTCTAGTTTTCACCTATAAGTTTTTAAGATTGTTTAAAATATTCTTAATGAAATACCCTGTATAAATTATCAGGAAACGTCATTATGTAATGTTATTCAGTAGATTTATCGTATAATTACAACTATAGGATTATTTTTAATGAAAAAATAAAACATTTCTCAAATTGACTTAATTTTTGGGGATAAAGGAAATCTTTCAACTTCTATTTTTTAGGTGGCTGGACTAGCCCGAAGAAAAGATCGCCTGGAAGCTTTAGCTCAAAAACTTTCCAACAAAAAGGGCAAATTTTACCCCCTTAAGTCAGACTTAACAAAAGAAGAATACATTTTAAACACTTTCAAGTGGATCAAGGAGAACTTAGGCACGATTCATATTCTCGTGAACAACGCTGGCTATCTCGGAAAAACCACTCTAATTGACGGAGACAGCGATGTTTGGAGGAACACATTTGAAGTTAACGTCCTGGGTTTGTGTATAGCTACGAGGGAAGCCATAAGGGATATGAGAGCCAACGACATTGACGGGCACATAATCCACATCAACAGCATCGTGGGGCATCAAGTGATAAATTTTCGAGAATTTAACGTGTACATTTCGAGTAAACATGCAGTGACAGCCCTAGCAGAAACGCTGAGGTTGGAACTGGTAGAATTGAAGTCGAAAATAAAAATTACGGTAAAATTGCCAATACGTCCAGTAATATTTAAACAATTAGATGGATAGCTGTAAATTAACCGCGATAGATTATGTATATCCAATTCGTAAAATATTTGGAACGGTCCATGACATTATAGAGAATCTCTGTGACGTCACACCACTAGACAGGTTCGATCCCACGACTCAATATCGACGCGTTACTACGAAAACATACATACCTAATACGGACTCTAAGGAGACTCGGTAGCCGCTTGCTTGCGTAGACTTTGGAAATTTAATGCAGGTATGCGACACTTTTATTACCGGTACTTTATGATCTGCTGGATATCGATGCGACGGACGGAGAGCAGATGATATGCATGTGCACGTTTTCGCGGTTCCCCTAGTACACATGTTTATCGTACATATCATTCAACTTTATACATTATATTTATATTCTGGTTATTACGTTAACTCTATTAATGAAATTTTATGAATAAATGATGTTTTTCTACAAATTGTTGCATCTTGTTCTTATTTGAAAAGCAACGATTGTAAAAACCGTATTTCACAAAAAAAAAAGTGAAAAATTTTTGATATTTTTAATTATGCATTTAAAAATACAAAGCTGTGTGTAAAAATCAAGACTTCGTTTGAATGCAAATTAAGAACAATTGCCAAGACAATCCAGGTATAGCTGCTCTACACGGGCATATTGTCCAGATAACGATTCGGACCCCGGATTTTAACTTTACAAAAAAATCGATATTTTATTAAAATTTGTAACGTTTCCTTTTTAATTGGGCTTGATGTTTATATCTGTTTAGTTTTGTCTGCTTCCATAACTAGAGATATCTGTGATGTATGTGAAACAAAGTCAAGTATGCTTAGACGTTAACGAGTGGTATGACGTCACAGGATGGCTTCCTTGCGTTTTCCCGCGTTCCATTTTATTTATTTTGAGGCAGAAATTGTTGAAAAAATTCTGATCCTTTGCGCTTTAACTAAGTACTTTCTGAATATGCATTGAAAAAATAGGTTAAATGATCTCATTCCACCATTATTAATTAAAAGAAGATATCATTTCACACGAGCTGTCAAAAATAGTGTAATGACTTCGAAAGCGATAATACTCATGTGAAAGTAAAGAGAATGAACAAACCTTAACACTGTCGTAAGGGTAAGTTAAGAAATAGTTAAGAAAATGTATTTTTATTGAAATTTTTCAAACCAATATTAAAATTTACATAAAATTCGATGGTTTTGAATTAATAACATAGAATTCGGAACTTCTATAACTTATTTTTGAAAGTAAATCCATCATAACTTCTGTTGTTTTTTAAAGAATAAGTATGAGAAGCTTTCAAATTAGTTGTACCTACTATTTTTAACACCCTGTACAATTATAAAAATCTGTCATGCACAGGTTCACATTTTTTTATATGACATATATTTACATTAACTATCAGTGATTTATCTAATGATACCCTAAGGATATGGTAAATACGTTTTTTGTGGTCTTTAATTGACTTATCGTATAATTCTTGGTTACTTATTCCTTGAAGGATTAGTTTTGGGATATAGATTAAAATTTGTGTCACTTGTTTAATTTACAAAAGGAGTATATAATACCATCATAACATAGGTACCTTAAAGGGGGTGCTTTTTTCTTATTTTAACGAATGCAAACGAAACAGAGATTAAGAATTATAACAACTAAAATTTTTACACTTCCTGTTTGAAATTCAAGATTATTTTTCAGAGTATCAGTCCGGGACTTGTGGATACCGAAATTTTACCAAATTATATAACGAAGCACAAGAACCTTATTGAAGAAAAACAAATAATCGAACCAGAGAATATCGCTGATGCGGTTGTTTACGCATTGTCGACTTCTCCGCATGTGCAGGTAAGTTTTGTTCAGATTTTACTACACTGGCAAAACGAAATAATTGCTAGTAAAATCGCATTCTAAAAATCCCTTGTACCTCAAGTTTTATGCCAACATTCAAATTTGTGTGGAAATTATCCTTAACAAATAAAAAAAAATAACAAACTTTAACATCCTGTATATCGAAAACTAAGCGTTTGTCGACCCACGTTTATATTATATAAAAGTCTTATTTTGACCTCAAAAATACGCCCCTAAATTCTTTGTACTGAATTTTTAATCACCCTGTATATGATTTTTTGCGTTTTTTGACCAAAAAAGGCCAATACCTCAATGAAGATGCATTTTTTCGAAAATCAAGTTCATCAAAATAAAATTTCCTACAAAATTACTCCGATGAAAAATTTCGATTTTCCCAATAACTTGTCTGGTGTATTTTTTAAATGAAGTATAGATTATGTGAAAATTAATGTTTTGGAGCTAAAATAATGGTCAATTCATTTTTAAATAACAAAATTGGATTAGAGATAAGAAAATTACGGAAAATTTTGGAAAAGTTTTCAGGGTTTGAATATTTATGAGCATCAAATGTATCATTTCATAGGTTTTCAACGGTGTACAAGTACGAATTAATTAAGCGCTTTTTAATATTTTTCAGAAAAATCTGTTTTCTTTGAAATAATCGGCACGTATTTTAATTTGCAAACATCTTGTGAAAAGGATGGTATTTTGTATTTCCGTAATACTGACTATTAAAAAGTATGTAAAATTAAT